AGAGCGAGGGTAAAAAAAAAAACAGTTAAGATGGGCATTATTAGAAATATATTATATTTAGCGTCTAAAAACATAACAGTCCCATCTTTGTGTTGCAGTAAATACTGCTGTCAGTATGAATTGAGCAACATATTTACCACATTTAGACACATCAAACACAGGAGCTAAATGTGTGTTAGTAACAGTGTAAACTACACTTGCCTGCATTCTAGGAAAGTGTTTTTCATGCCTCTTACCCGGTATTTAAGATCTCATGGTGCGTATGTTGCAACCTCTATAATTGTTAGACACAATTACATTGCTGGCTTATCCATTCTCGTATTGTTCTTGCATCATCTCCGCTCACCTGTCTGAGGATACTCACAGCAAGAAACACTATGACACCTGCTGGTTCTGTTGTATGCTAGTATGTGGGTTCATGGCAGTGATAGAGTAGTAATTTGACAGATGGGACTCCAACTTTACACGCTTAGTAAATACCGGTATACATAGCTGCATGCTTAAGTACAATCAAACTGAAACGTCTTTTTACAAGGCAGCCATGTGATTCAGCTAATGCATAAAGCATAAAATATCTCAATCCATCTTGTCTTAAGTTGGCTAGACACCGGTAAAATTCAGTTCCCAACAAATGTCCAATTTTCTAATAGTTAATGGTGTTAAATCGATGACCGATTTCAACTGTAGTGATGAAAACAAATAGTAAAAATTAGTAGGTTGGAAAGTTTGTCTTGAAGGAAGAAAATTCTAACAGTGAATGTGGATTTTATTCCAAAATCTAATGTTAAACTTCAAAAACAAATTTTGAGATTTCAAGTGATATGCTACAGGTTTCCAATGGCAATATCCAATGTTCTGATGAGACTTTTTCATACTAAAATTCATTTGAAAATCTACTAGTGTGTACAACAAAAATCTACCTTAACGATATACTGTATATGAATCTGTCGCAAGTTGCACCATTTGTTGCATGGGCAAGAGACAGATTTCTTTTATGGTCTGCAGTCTCACACATGCAATGAAGAATCAAGCGAGAGAGGAGGATTGCCAGAAGGAAAGGGAGTTCAGATTGATGCAATTGTTTCTGGTAAACATAAGGTCTGCTTCAATGATCTGCCATGATCATCCTTAGGGGACCTTTATTGGGTCTCTGCAGACCTCATCTTTAATTATATGCCTAGAAAACTATGTAAACTCCCTGCATGACAATGGATATATCTCCATGGGCCTATCTTTGGGTGCTGATAATATCGGACTTATAAACTGTAAAATGACACTGTTCACACCGGTTTTACAGAGACGGATCTGTTTGATAACTTTGAACTGCAAGGAAACACACAATATTATTCAGCAATGAGCTCCTATTTTTAAAAGCAGTAGCACCAACCAATCGGAATATATCTTACTGGTCTGACTTCAGCAGAGTGAATTCTGATGGTTCTGAATAACGTTAGACCTGTATTAGCATGTTTGTCGCTAGGGGCACGTGCCCTGTATCTGGTGGTGAGTGGCCCAGGTCCATACACCACAAACTCCCGCATTTATTTTCTTTATTTTATGTGCTTGGCAAGCTGCCAGCTGCTGTCCCAATCTGCTGCCTGTGAGACTTGTAGCACAGAGCCGAGGGAACTGCTCTGAAACTCCTCCTTGATTCTGTGCTACATTTGACATGCTGCCCGCCGACACCTGGCACTGATCTCAGCCTCCCACACTTGAAATTGATAGTGGCCATTTAGTGCAGAAGTTATTGGCCACAGAGAGGAATGTACCTCAACCCAATGAACAGTAACAGGTGCATGTCTTTTGTGTGTTAGTGTGGTACTATGTGTGTTAGCATGGGCATCACTAACGCTCATTGCCAGTCAGATCTATAACACAGAATTGAGGGAAGTGCTTTGAAACTTCATCTTGGCTCTGTGCTACAGGTCTGACAGGTAGGGGATAGGCTGGCAGGCAAGACAGAGTCCAACAGCTGCCAAAGCACACAAATAAAAATAAAATGCAATAGGTTGCGGTGTCAGGAACCGGAGCACCCACCAATATACACAAAGCAGTGCCAAGGTGAGTACATTTTGGGCAGGGGGATGGAATTTCTCTGGTTCCTGCGCTGTGTGTTACTTATCTTTCTCCCATTTGCACTGTATGTTACCTATTTTTGACTCCTAAACTTCGTGTGTTACTTAGTTTGACATGCAGTTTGTGTGATGCATACGGTACTCTTGACCCCCCAGGCTCTGTGCATTACTTACTCTTGACCCCTACACTTTCTGTGTTACTCATGATCTCTGTGCTTTGTGTGTTACTCTTGATCTCTGTGCTTTGAGTGTTACTCTCGCCCCGACACTTTATGGGTTACTTACTCTTGACCCCCTGCATTTTATGTGTTACTTACTCTTGGCTCTTGTTCTTTACTTATGCCTGACCCCCGTTCTCTGTTACATACTCCTGACCCCTTCACTTTGTGCATTTTGTACTCCTTGCCCTTTCACTTTGTACATTTTGTACTCCTGACCCCTGCACTCTGTGCATTACATATTTCTAACCCATGCACTGTGTGCTATAAATTCTCCTGACCCCCCACACTTTGTGCTTTTGTACTCCTCTTTCCTGTGCTCTGTGCACGACACATCCCTGACCCCTGCACTCTTTATGATTTATTGTACAGTATATGCTGCTGACTAATTTTCACGGTCTTAACAGTTGCCGGTTGCTAAGTAGTCCCCAACTATATTATTAAGTTCTTCTTTAACGTAGGCTCTGAAAAAGTGTTATCTCTCTGTCTACATTCTATGTGCAGAAAAGCATACGTAATGGTAGAGTTTCATTTTTTTTAAATAATTGCGCTGAGGTTTTTATGTCTCTGTGTGGCTCTCACATGTGGCACAGTAATGAAAGCATATTTGTGGGTACAAGGACTGTGACATATTTGTGTTGTTTATTCAGTGGGTAATTGGGTATTCAACTATACCCATTCACACCCCTCCCACTGCAATACCCCCAAAAAACAAAGACCTAGTCAAATTCTAACCTATAAAGCAAAATTACGGGAGGGAGGGAGGGTGGGACAATCTCTTTCCACAAACATTGTCTGTTTGATTTTTTACAACAAAATGAAAAGGTTTGCTAGATGTTCTTTAAAAATCAATATTAGAGTTGAAACTAACAGGGTTATTCACAAAAGGGTGAAGAATTTGGAGAAGGCAGGAGAAGTGAACAATCTAGAACAACATAGCTGAACTGGAAAGTGAGCTGAATTGGAGAATTTTTCCTAGATTGTTCACTTCTCCTGCCTTCTCCAAACCCTTCACCCTTTAGTGAATAACCCTGTAAGTCCTTGGGGCTGCTATGGGTGCACACTTACTGATTAGGTACTAAATGTTTGCTATTGAACATCCTTTCATTTACAGACTATGAGACATAACAAACTTTTCCCTAAGACTCAAGAGGCAAGACACATTCTTACCTCTAAATGGACTTACCTCATACACGTACGATATGTGCCTGTTAGTAAATTTACTGTTTGTATTTCCAGTAGAAAGTGCTAATTAGCAAAGCTACTTGCTAATTGCTCTGTATTCCAGGATCCAAGGGTTTTGATCAGCGTCCAGCTTTCTGCTACTGTATCCTTGCCTTAGGAGCCAGAACTATTTGAGTCATTTGTAACACATAATGATCCTGATATGCAAAGCAGGGGGTGACAAAAAGGACATAGTAAATAATTGTCACTAGGATCATTTCTGTTCTGGGAGGAGTTTTGGGTTGCATATTATAGTCAAATACAATGTAATGCAAAATGGTGTGCAATAAATCTTAACGATAATACTGCCAGGGGTACACTTATAAAGGTCAGCTTTTATTCCCATATTTTAAATCTTATTAAAAGAAAAACTACACTAATTCTGCAGATGTTCCAACACTCCTGGCAGTATGAAAGCTTTTTCCAACCTCTGTAACTGTCACTTTTGCTGTATGTCATGAACATGTGGAAGGAAAAAAAAAGATAAATTAATGTCTGTATCTGTTTAAATTATTATTATGTCTTCCACATTTACTTTGGGTTTTAACATTGTAAATAATTGCCTGTAGAGTCCAAGCAAAAAGTAATGTTGAGAGTTCTATACAGCTTGTGAACTGTTGTTTATGATGGATCCACTTTGTAAAATGTATAAAGAAAAACTCTTTCATTTTCAGATTATAAAAAAGGATAAAAGCTTTAAAAAAAATATTGGGGGGAATTTATTAAAACTGGAGCAGAGAGAATTGGGAGCAATTGGTAATGGCAGTTTGAAAATAAAAGAGAGAAGCTGAATTGGGCAACTGCTCCACATTCTGTCTGCTTCACTTTTGATAAATTCCCCTTATTGCTGTCTGTGTCCTCATTAAGGAAATTTCCCTTAATTTCCTGTGCAGGTAGCAGGTATCAGACAGAACAGGAAGAGAAAGATCTTCTGTATAGGGACAGAGCATTTTAAATCTGGGAGAAAAATCTTGTAAAGGGCATACAGACCTCATTTAGAACCTAACAGTCATCCCAACTTTTCCTTACTCTAGCTGAAGTTATAAAAAAAACAAAAAACTAAATTTGGGCTAAAGTCAGTCGAACTTCAAACATTCATTGCACCTAAGTGATCTTAATGGCTTGTTTTGTAACTTTTACACTGGCTTATTATTGATCTTAATATTCAGATAGGATACATTGCTATACAAATTGGGCTGTGTATGACCTGCTTTAGTAATGTTAGTTACCCTTATCTACTAATTAACTAATCAGCGGTACTAAATAATTACTGCTGGATTATAACTGATTGCTGTAGGCCTCACCTCCCCTTTCCTTTCCCCTGCTCCAGTTTTATCATTCAGGCTTATAGTGTGCATTACTATAAGATAAAGAGATAATCAGTGTTGAGTTTTAAGAAAGGGTTATCAGACATATAGCATTTCCTTTAGTACACTATTATTATCTCCTTTCCAATGATGATCTTTGTCTTCTCACTTAATAGTTCCATCCAAGAACAATGGCAGCATGATGTCTTCCCTAACTCTCAATAAAGAAAGCCTCATAGGTGGCGTGACAAATCCAAACGAAGTTTTCTGTTCTGTCCCTGGGCGCCTGTCCCTACTCAGTTCCACATCTAAGTATAAAGTGACGGTGGGAGAGGTCCAAAGACGGTTGTCACCCCCTGAGTGTCTCAACGCATCCCTGCTTGGAGGAGTTTTACGAAGGTCAGTAAAAAATATTTTATTTTTAGATTTATGCCAATGTAGCTAAAATCCAAAAACTGAAAGGAAGAAAATGAATATTTTAATACTAACTTGTTGTCTGTGATTGAAAAACTTCCTATGTTTGTGTGTCAAAGGATAATTATGCTTTAGGCAAAATCAAACGTAACTCAGCCTCTTTTAAACTCTGTTGCCTATTGGCGGTATGTTGGACAGCTGACTAAGGGTGACTGCCAGGTCATTTTCTTCCTGGCCTCTCTTTTATACTGTATGTCAGAAAGGATAGAAGAGCATTACTGTTGGCCAACCTTCCTCAGAAAAGCTGAGATGCCACCTGGTGCTGAACAGCCATGGCATTTGGAAGATGATAATGTGTTGATCTGAAGTCTGTGTTGAGGCATATGCAGTTGATGATGGGGGTGAGCAGGGGCATTGATCTCATTCAAAGTATAGTTATTCTTTAACGGTAGCAGTAAAGCAATTGGATTTCAATAGCTAGCGTAACCACAGGTAGGCAACGTCAGCACCCCAACTGTGGTGAAAATACAAATTCCAACATGCTTCTGCCTCTTGCCGTCTGCTTGTGGCTGTCAGAGTCTTAAAATGCCTCATTGGAGTTCCAAGATTGCCTACCCCTGGTGTAACCTCAGTTTTGAATGGGACTTCTTGGATTTTTCTAACAAGTATATTTTTCTTTCAGGGCAAAATCAAAAAATGGTGGTCGTTGTCTTCGAGAAAGGTTGGAAAAAATTGGTTTGAATTTGCCTGCCGGTAGACGTAAAGCTGCCAATGTTACTCTGTTAACATCTCTAGTAGAGGGTAAGAAATACAAAGTATTTTCTTTATTTTAGTGTAGTGAAGGAACCCAAATGTAACACACTTAGGGCCTTATTCATTTGTATAGAAAACATTGCTCCCATAACATATACTGTACGTGTGTAGCTTGGTTGTGAAGGGCTCTGATATTCCAGTAACCACTATGTTTTCACCTATTTTCAACTTAGAGCAGCCTTAATAATCAAACATGATTGCTTATTGGCTGTCGTAGAGTTATTGCAATTTACACCTTCCTCTTTGATATAAAGCGAACCTGTGCTTTGTCTATACAGGGCAAAACAACAAGCTCATGTTAATGGTGACCCTGCCAGCAGCCTATAGTTCCCTTCGCTCTCCCACTGCGGAGTGAAAAAAATATCTGGTACTTCTGGGTATGGGGGAAGCAGGGGTGGGTTGAGTATGGGTTGAGTATATGGGGTTGATTTACTAACCTTTTAAACACACCACGAACGTGTATACACCTCTGTAGTGTGTTCCCTCCCAGCATGATCTATGGGAGGAATCGAAACACCTTTGTAGTGTGTACACACCCAGCAGGTGTGTTGTGCAAAGCCCTGCAATGAATTGCAAGGTAATGTGGTGTAAATTAGCTCTATGTTATGTTGCTTGCGTTGATGAATGCAGGAATGTAAATGCATGAGCTAACCATTTTTGTCTAAACTGTGAAGCAGCATTATATATGCATCATGTGCATGATTTTTCCATATATGGCATTAGTGGAAATATGCTTTTAGAGACTTTTTGGTTGATAAATACGTTTTGCTGTGTGAAAATCACACACACCTGGTGTGTGTGTGTGTTTAGGTTAGTAAATCACCCCCTATGACTCACTCCTCCTTACTACCTTCAAAAGACAATACTGGTGCTGAGCAAATGGCTGTTCAGGCACCCAGAACTGTCACATGGGGCCGGGAGAGTCCTACATTTTTGGAGCTTTCACAGGGCTAATTCTCTCTCGCTCCTGGTGGACAAAAATAGGTGAAGGAAAGGTGTGTATTTACAATCTGGCAGGACTGGGGATTTATATACATCTGCTGCTTTGCCATGTACTTTATGGGTAATTGTGAATGTGTCAGTAGTGAATACTGCTGTTTTAATGTTTCCAATATGTGTCAGTTAAAAAAAATCCAGAATCACCTCAACATGACTATTTATTTGCTCTGTTATCTGTACATGAATAGCTTGCTGTATCATAAAGCACTTAAAGTGACATTAAACCCTCAGATTTTTTAACATAAACCAATACTATAATGTGTGCCTTACTGTAATCCATGGTAGTTTCCCTTCTCTTTGCTGCTCTTCCTTTTAAATCCTCATGTCTTCTCATGCTGGGGGAGAACATCCCTTTGCAGCTGAGTGCCTCTTCCTGTAGTGCTGGCTCAGGTTGTGAACCTGCACACAGACACCATGTATCCATTCCAGAGAGAAGGCAGTCTGCTGCAAAACAGAAGTTCTGCCCAGCATGAGAACAGATACAGATTTAAAAGGAAGAGCAGCAAAGAGAAGGGAAACTACCATGGATTACAGTAAGGCACACATTACAGTATTTTTTATGTTAAAAAATCTGAGGGTTTAATGTCACTTTAAAGTTTCAGCTTGCTCCTAAAGTGTATCGAAACCAAAAAACAAAAATGAAATTAATTGCAGCTTACTAGTCCTTAGATGAGGTACCTTTGTTTATTTTCCTTTCCACTTGTTTTTCCATTTAGACCCAGTTATTCTGTGAACAACACACTTTCTGTCCCTGAGTGGCTACGCTCCATTGTATCTATGGAGGAAGTCATAGTTGTCACCATGGCTGTACCGCCAATTGAGGCAGCACTCATGGAGCACAGTGGGGAATGGCACTAAGGCTGGAGTGTCCATACCGGTCACTGCATCCTCAATGCTGCTCAGTAACACCATGCCTGAAAAAAAAATCAAAGGCTTAGCATTACTAAGCTCCCTGCCTGACTAATGTGTCAGTTACACAGATAGATGCAGCTGAGCCTGAGCTGAACCTCCTCAGTGACATAGAGCCTATTATTAGTGCAGGTTCAGCATCACTGAGCACATCACTGGCAGCCACTACACACTGGCTGCATTGGCCAAGCAGAGACTTTTACTCAGTGACCCCGAGCCTGCATTTTTAACAGGCTCCATGTCAATGAGCTGATTGCCTGTGTGTGTGTGGCAGCCATCTTTGTCGCAGGTGGGGGAGAAAGGTCCGCCCCTGGCATGGCCCTGGTTGTCACAGAGGCAGGACTTCAAACATGTAGCCTTTGTTTATCTCTAATTCATGGGGATTATGGGGTTAGCAGTAACACAATAAATATAACATTGTTTTTGCTTCCAGTTTATCTCACAGGTAGTGACAAAGACACAGCATTTCTGGCAAGATCAACAGTTGTTTTCTGTACTTGCTGAAAATGTTGTTAGCTCGAAAAAAAATGCAGCTGCCGCATTTATGGACTTATTAGGAGCACTGTATATTGTTTGTTATTTGTTTTAGTAATCTTTAATGATTTTTGCTGTGAGTGCAGTGATGTATAAGGCCTCATTCATGCTAGCAGTGACATACATGCGATTATAGGACATTTCTATTTAAGAAATTGTCAAGCGCACTTCAAAGATTACTCCAGTACATTTCTAAACGCATATAAACGCATGTCATGTTTTTAAAATGCTATTATTCTCCCTGTGAGTTTATCAATATTTAGATGCATTCAGTTTAGCTGCGTTTAGAGAAAATTGAATTCTGTGCGTCCAGGGGCAGATTACACATTACATACATTAGTCTAAACACATGTAAACACAAGTACATTTAAACACAAATCATTTCTTCTGAGTTTATATAATCCAAATGCAGGAGGATAGTGTGAATTTAGCCTAATTATGCCAAAAGCAATATAAGTTTAATAAGTTTTCTAAACACATGGCATGTTATTGTAACTGGGGCATTCTTTAATCTAGGGGAGGCTGTGCATCTTGCGCGAGACTTCGGCTATACCTGTGAGACGGAATTCCCAGCTAAAGCTGCAGCAGAATACCTGTGTCGGCAACACTCGGACCCAGCAGAGCTGCATGCAAGAAAGAATATGCTGCTGGCTACCAAGTAAGTAGAAATCGCCCTTCACTTCTCTTCTACTATCATGGAGAATGTTTCCCTTAAAATGCATCTGTCAGATCTCTGCCTGCAGTAAGCAAATTGTTCTAGTACTAAGACAATGACATCATGATTCAAACAGTACACTAAGAAAGGCATTCTGCACATTTTTATTGAATATCCGGGTTGGAATTAAACATAATGTCAAATTTAGCGAACCAAAGCAGGGATGTAGACACAGCTGATTCAACAACATACTTGTTCATTAGATAAGAGGATGAGGAATATGCAAAATGCTGTAAGTCATAGCACACAAATCAGAGTATATCTTTCACTGATCTGTGTTCAGTAACCTGAACTCTGATTGATCAGTATGGATTTCTGCATTTTGCACATCAGTGTTATATAGTCTTTCGCCACAAGTCTAATGGTGTAAGCACTATTCTTCTAGAGTACAAAAAAATACTGTATTTTTCAGTAACTGCCTATAATAGTACGATATGCTATGTGTGGGGTCATCCCAGCTGATTTCAGTGGGGCAGGTTTTTGCAAACTGCCTGCATCACGTTGGCCATTATTTTCATATCACAAAAGTAAACAGATATTTAGGAAATTGAAAGTGATTCTTGTTAGTGATGAATGCTGACCGAAACCCAGGAATACATGTGCATCTGCCCATGCGGGCTTAAGTAGCTGATTCATTTAAAAGCATGTGCCCACTTCCTGTATGTACCCGCCTTGCCTTTGCTTCCTCCACTACTCCATTTTGCTGCCTAAAGTGAATGACATGACTGGTATTTCAGATTATGGGGGAACATCTGACCCACTCCCTTTTCTCCCATGTGACAGTGCTGGGTGCATGGGTAAAGCTCTAACCAGAGAGACTTGAAGCTTACATAAGGCTTTACTTTTTGTTTCTGTGGGTGAATGTAACAGTGGTGGAGTGAAAGGATGGGAGCTATAAGCAATCTGGCAAAGAAGGAGTTAATGCTTACATTACTCAGCCTTCCCTTATCCACCACTGCAGTTTGTCAGGAACCTGGTACTTTCACTAACGAAAAATCTAACCCCTTACCACCTCCCCCCCCCCATTTTCCATGGTAGAACTTTTTGGTGCCTAACTTGTTGGCGCGGCCAACTGCAAGACCCAAGCATCGTCATGTGGGGTTAGGGGGACAACGGAATTAATATATAGCCCTGAGCAAGTTTTGACTTTGTGAAAGCAGATTAGCGCATACCTACCATAAAAATTCGATTCCTTTTTCTGTTAAACATTGGTTTCTAGAGTCTGTATCCATGAAGAAAAGGCTTGATAAAATCATACAAGCATCCTAAACGCTGTTTATGTCTATTGGTCACCTACAGTAACACAGCTCCAATAAACGTTTGACATCCTGTGGGTTGCTTAATGTCAGCCAAGCTTAAACTTGTAGGCTGATGTGAGGTTCTGTGGGTTGTGCGGACTCAGCCAAGCCTTTACATAAACAATAGCTTGGTACATCCTTTAACACTATTTACACCTGGCACCCAACACAGTTTACATCCCTTGTGCTTACAAAAAATTATAATGTACACAAATGTGGTCCACCATGTTTATTTCATTGAAGCTCCAGCCTAGTACCTGGCAGTACTAGCAGTTATACAGTACAGAGTCATGGATGCAAACGAATAAAGAAACCACACTATTTCCTAACTCAAAACTTTACCTTTCAGGCAGATTTGCAAAGAATTTGCTGACTTGTTGGCTCAAGACCGTTCTCCATTGGGAAACAGCCGTCCATCTCTAATCTTGGAGCCAGGTGTACAGAGCTGTCTGACTCACTTCAGCCTAATCACACATGGCTTTGGAGTCCCAGCCATATGTGCAGCACTTACTGCTTTCCAGAACTACCTACTTGAGTCACTTAAAGGCATGGACAAGATCTTCATGAACAGCACAGGGAATGGACATTCAACAGGGGAATCTAAACCTTCAGATAAAGACATTAAACATAGGAAATAAAGAACTGTGACAGCCACAGTGGGGCCTGGAATAAAAAGATGACTGCTAGACAGCCATGACAAGTTTGGCCAGTGGTGCACCTGGGACCTAGACCAACAATTCTGCATGTTTTCAGCGTATGGAGTTTCATTTAAAAACTCTAAGCCTACTGAGGAGGGTTGATGTGAAGACGATGACAGAATCTCACTAAGGTGAATTACATATCAGATTTGTTTGCTAGGAACACAGACTACTATACAGATATCAGACTTGTTGCAACATTCTTGCAGAGTATGTAAGAATAACGTAACTTCCATCACAAAAGAATAATGGGTCCTCTGTAACACAGGAAGCGGTTATTGCACACACCTCCATCATATGTCTTTGCCTGATCTTCAACTATACAACCAAATGTTGGCATATTTTCTACTTTAACTGAGATATTTTGATTTAACAACAAATTGTATATATGAATAATTCAGTGGAAAAAAGTTTATGACAATCTACAGTCAATCAGAGCTCTTAAACTCCACCAAATCCTTTTTTTTAGCAAAATGGCAGCAAATGTTGCAATTGCAGTAGAATGGCAATGGTGAGGTTCCTGAACACATATGCTTTAGGTTTGCTGTGTTAGACATATGCATGGGGCCAGCTCATAGATCCAATACAGCAATACTAACTTTCTGTTCTGTGATTCTTAAATATTTAGTCCACTTGGACTGTAGTTTTGGTTCTGGAGAGACTCTGATTAATTAAGTTACTGAACAGCGTTTTGAAGACTCCAGGGGTGAGAACTACCTTTAGAGGAGCCCATCTTAATTTAATCAGCAATGAATAGACATTAAAGCTGTCATTATGCTTGTAAAAATGTTTAATTATGGTACACTGTAGCATGTATGTATTGTACGTGCTTACTTGTGAGCACCTGGAAAGACATACATAGTACACATCCCAGGGAGTCTCCTTATTAGCATCAGGGAGGTCTTCTTTTCTTAGGCAAAATCTTCCTGCCTGCAGTAGTTTAGGCCTAATGGATAAAGTATTCATTATTCATCTTCAAGGAAAAGAAGAGACTACTTCTCCCAATCTGCCCCCCATAAAGATTTAATTAACATAATACGAACACAAATGTTCCCACTGGTTGGAAAGTTACATATATTATCCTACATACTGCTTCCAATCTGCCCATATTTTCATATAACAGGTAATAAGTTCTGCACACCTAAACACACTGCCATATTTAGTTTATATAAAGCACAAGACAAGATCAAATAAGTCAACTGACAGTAATTGTTTCCAAATAAGCTGCCTGTTTAAGTAGCACAATAGAAATTGCATCCCCTATACTAGTTCTCTACAGAATTTGACGTCAATTGAAGTGTATGTAAAGCTAAAACCTTTTCTTAGTTTTGGGCAGAGTAGGGAATGTTAGCAACTCATTAGGTTGTTTACTGTCTGTGTCACATAAGGTGGAAATGTTCTCTAGAATGTTTTTTAGCAGAACAGGTGTCCCCATTGGAAGATTTTTCTGGTGACAACTGAAAAATTTTGGTCACAGGACAAACAGAAAAGGTGAATCTCCATCGTAAAGACACCACTCTATCCAAAACTAAAAAAACAAAGACATTTTGGCTACAGATATACTTTAAATCAGTGGTTCTCAACCTGTGTTACCTCAGGGCCCACATTTGTCCTTGGTCATTAAGTTGTGACCCAAGTCGTAGTAGTGCATGTTCCGGTGCGGGCGATCGAACTGTGGGGGGAGGTGCGTTTGGGGTGCCATTCAAATGAATGGCAATGCGACGCATCTCATACACCAGAACGCGCGGTAGGTGTGATTGCATGGTACAGTGCAGTATTCGCACAGGACTCTGTGATTAACGCACTGTACTAGTGTGAACGGGTACTCAAACACACACACAACCATAGACACAATCTCACACACACACACTACAAAAACATTTTTAATCTTTTTTTCTTTTTTTTTTTAAGATCCACCCAGTCTCACTACCTTATGATAACTGGAGTGGATCCTCAGCATAGGGACCAGTGGGGGTTGCCGTGCTGTGATGGGGCTCCATCCATATGTGCATTGCTTGCACACCTCACTTGACTGCCTTTTAGAGGTGGTCGTGAACCAGAATGTAACGTCACTCCGGCCCAGGTACCTCTACAGGGCACGCAAAGGAGCTGTAAGCGTTGTACGTATGGATGGTGCTCCAACGAGGCCATACCCCCAGCCCACCCCACCTCAAGCTGATACTTGGTGATGGGCAGCATATTTTGGATAGCTGCTTTGTGCGAGAACTGACTAAGGAGCCTCTCACCCAGCGCAGTGGAAGGCACACGGTGACCTACTGAACATGGGGTCATGACCCACTTTTGGGTCACGACCCACCATTTGAGAACCATGGCTTTTAAGGGCTAGTCCACTCATAGCTGATATTTTAGTGAGACTCCATGGTAGAAGGGAACAGAGATGAGAAGAGAAAGATTTTTTTGGTCTCTAGAGTCTTTATATCATGACATCTGGTAACTTAGTATCCACTCATAATGGTAAAAGTTTGTAGGCCTTCCCCTTTAACCAAATCCCTGATACTGACCATGAAATAAACACTTTTGCTTAATAAATGGTTAAATATAGCATTAAAGTACTTTTTGGCACAGTCCTATTGCTTAATTGTTCCTAGTGTACAAAGAATGATTGATTTTAAAGAATGCCTGTCTGAAAGAACTGAAAAGCAATACAGCAAATATTCCTACTGGAAGTGGTTTAAACAATGACTCTGGAATAAAAAAAGCTGCTCTCTAATTGTCCTGATACCACATTGACTACAATACTGCAAAGCCAATTTGAGCTCCATCAGAGCTCATGAAGGCAGTCAACCTATTCATGTATTTGTCATCCACATTTAGGAAAGAGGTTCATAAAACAATAGTTTATAATTGTATTCATCCGTTATTACAGAGTTAAATCATAACAGCTACATAAGCAGTTTAAATACATATACTTTATGAAAACTTGCGTTCCTGCCAGATATGTGTTATTCTGTTTAGTCACTCTTGTGATTCACAGATCCCTCATACACAGCAATGCAAAGAGGTTGAGACCATTATTTATTACTGCAGCTTTTCTGTGTCATCTGTCTGCTCTTTGGACAATGAATGATTATCACTTCACTGAATAGGTCCTTCTTGCGCATCCTTCCTCCTGTAAGCTTCATCTACATTTCCCCTTCCAGCTCCCAGTGCCTGAAAACATGTTAGTTTGACAGCCCAGTGCAATGCAATGAGTCTGATCAGCTCACAGAACAGAACCTCCCTAGCCTGACTTCAGATGTGAAGGGGATTGTGTGAAGGTAATGAAAAGACAGTTGTCACGCAGTTATATTAGCAGTATTTTCAAATACATGCAATGATTTTCTTAATAGGTACAAAACTGGATTAACATTTGGTTTATTTAATGTTTGCCTTTAATTCCATTGTAAGCAAGTAGCTTATTTTGTATAAAAAAAAAAGTGAATTATTATGAATGACTACTCTTTTTGTTTTTGCGTCAATCCTAATTAATCATTTTTAGGTCATCTGAAGGTGGTTTATTCCAAAATCTAAATGGCCAGTTCTATATTTGAATAACTTAACTGAGACATAACTTATGTAAGACAGGCACCTGGTCTGTATATTACTAGCCTGATCAGACTATAAATGGGACTGTCCCCTGCCCCGCCCCCACTATAAGCCAGCAAAAACATTTAAAAAATAAGATATTATACTCACCTTTCCTACAGCTTCCATGGTGGAGGAGGAGGTGGTGCAATCTGCTGATGAGATCCCAGGGAATACTGAGTACAGTGCTGGGAGCACCTACTCTACTTTCCCCAGATCTCACCACCATGGGCGGAAGCCAGGGAAAAGGTTAGTATATGATGTTGCTCCCACCCCCCACTAATTGATGTTTATTCTGTTTTTCAGAAAGGAGTGGACCTTGCATTTTAGATGCATAGCCAGTTTTAATAAGGAAGAGATCAACTTTCTGCCTGGGGAACACCCAGGTAAAGCTCCAGGGAATACGTTGGCACTATATAAATGAAAACAAAAATAAAACTTGACAAATTGTGCAATAAAAGAACATAATAATAGCAAATGTATTTCGTATAGATAGATAAATGTTACAGTTCTTTGTACACTGAGAAGGGTCCAGTGTAATCATCCCACTTTTCCCATCTGTCTGGTTTGATTAGAACGGTGCAAGTATTAGCATATCAGCAATATGGGCTGACTAACATTATATATTTATTTGAAGCAGAAAAAGATATTAAAGTTGCATTTGAATAAAAACGCCTCTGATAAGAGCAAGCATTTGTTAACATTCAGTCGTTCCCGTGCTCCTAATAAATGTGTTCTTATAGATATCCTACAATGCTGAAAATGTACTGGTCTTAAAATATTTTACCTGTTTGACCACACTCTGGGAAGTGCAAGAACATGAGTTCTGAGTCCTCCAGTTAGCATGTGAGTTGGCCATCAGTCTTGTTGCTACCTTGAATCTGCTTGATTAGATATGTGTGATGTAATCCACACAAATCCAGAGTTGAGTCAGATTGTATTGGTTCACCTGCTCAGGGATAGAGGGCAGACCATATTGTACAAGTCTAATGTGGACTATTTAACAAACAAAGCATTTCAGTATTCGGTGGCTTTGCAGTGTCTCATTCAGTAACCAGAAGGTTCAATCTCCTTGACATAACCTTTGAGCTTCCTAAGATATACATAGCACTATTATTGTAATTCTGTTGGTCTAGCAGGCTGTCATTTAAAACATCTCTGAGCTATAGCGACTTTGCACTCTGGTGGATTAACATACTCTTACAGTAAGTCACTGTGCAGTATGGCTAAACCTCATGTTGGAGGGGGCTCCAAGATGTGATCAGCCTCCTACATGGCCCTCACCACAGGATCCAGCAATGTGCTGGAAATACCTTTGTATGTGATGATGCTTCCTGGCCCTATTAAAAAGACTTTTGTACATAATTAATTATGTGTAATTAAATGGGAACATTTTACAGATGTTCAGTGCAAGTTATTTATGAGTGAGTTTGGGGGTATTAATATTATTATTACTATTATTTTTTGGGAGAAACTCTCACCCCTCTTGTGTTTGAGGGTGTGTTTACCAGTGAATCCTTAAGACTTTGTTATTTCACAGACTCCTCTGTTGTTGTTAAACAAAGAAAAAAAATGCATACATGAAAGAAAAAAATAAAATGAATTAAAATGGGAATATGTTTGTGTTTTTCATTATATGGCAACTAATGCTGGCCACACAGTTATTGATGTGATGTGGCACAAGGGCTCTGGAGAGAGTGACCATTTATATTGGTGATACATATTTTTAAAGGGAAAATGTAGGGTTTGTGTGTCCTTCCTTTCCCTAAAGCAGCCCTCCAGCTGTGGTGAAAGTACAAATCCCATGAGGCATTGCAAAATTCTCACAGCCACGACTCCCAGAGAGA